ATAATATTATAGAATATTCTTTATAATAATTAAAAAAAAATCAAAATAAAAAGATTTATATAAAAAAAAAAAATGTAAAATAAATTAATTATAATATATATATAAATAAAATAAATAAAAAAATATCTATAATATATATATTTATATATATATATATATATATATATATATATATATATATTATTATATATTTTTTAATTTTTTTTTTTACATTTAAAAATATGTTTATTTTATAATAATTTTATTATTAAATTTATATATTCTTAATTGAAACAAAAATTAAAATATATATAAAATAAATAATCATTATAAATTTTTTGTGGATATAAATAATAAATCAAATTTTAATTTTAAATCTTCAATTTTTTTTTTATATTTATTATATTACTAAAATTATTATATTTATTTATATATTATTTTTAAAGTTTTAGATCTAAAGTATATTTTTAATTATTCATTTTTAAACGATATTTATTTCTAAATTTAGTACTTTTAACAAAATAAATAAGATAATTTATAAATAATATCTTAATAAAAATAAAAAATGTAATAATATAAACAGCTAAATATAAATTGATAAAAAATGATAATTTAATTTTATATTTGAATAAAATATATTTCATTTTTTTTTAATATTATGTTTTCCATCCAATAAATTTACACTAATCCAATCTACTAAAAAAATAGGCAAAATTCTCAAAAAAATAGCAACTTATTTCCAACTCCAGTGAATAAAAATCTCCTCTTTTTATTAAAGAATAGAGTTATATATTTTCTCGGCAATCATATTTTCGTCAAATATAGGTAAAATACCCTTTAATTTTGTTTATAAAGCTTTAAGCATGCCAGTATTGTCATCCTAAGGATAAATAAGTGTTGTATATATATTTTTTTTCATATTTTTTAATTCTAATCTTAAACCATTATGGAATCCTGATAAAGCAGCTTTACTTGCACAGTAATCAGTCCTTTTTGTTATTGTTATAAAAATATATATTTTGTTTATTTTTATTACATTTTTATATAAGGTATAATACTTGCTATAGAAGCAACATTTACTATATGTCCTTAATTATTATCAAGCATATTTGGTAGTATTTTTTTTATTAAAGAGACTGGTCCAAGGAAATTTACAGCCATGACTTTTTCTATATCTTCGAAAGAATTTTTTCTAAAAAATTTACAATTTGTTATTCCAGTGTTATTTATTAAAATATCAATTTTTTTGAATTTTTATAAAGTTTATTGAACATTGTTGTCTAATTCTTGTTCTTCGCTTATATCACATTTTTAAAAATAACATTCACCTCCTCTTTTATTTACTCCGTCTATAATTTCGGACATTAAATCTTCTCTTATGTCGTATATTATTATTTTACTTTTATTATGTTCGGCAAATTTATAGGCTAATATTTTACCCTTTTTGTTTGTTTGTTTTATTTTTATTTTTTTAGTTTATTTTACTATTCCCATTGTAGCGCCTGTCATTAATATAGTTGTTTCTTGGTCTATTTTATATGATATTTTTTTTATTTTGAATACATGTGTTTTTCTATAAATTTATAAATTATCATTAGGCCTATTATTTCGATTATTCCTACAATTAAGAAAAAAACATTTTTAATTTTAAGATCTTATTTACTTTTTAATTATATATAAATTAGAAAAATCTTATTTTTTAATATATTTATAAAATATTTTCATGAAAAATAATATATATTTATTCTTAAATAAAAAATTTTGAAATAATCTTTAAAATTTATAAAAAAATAATGGATATTTAAACTATAATAAACTACAGAGTAATTAATTATAAAATAATTTTGAAAATAATAAATTTAATTAAAACTTTAATAAAATCTTTCGAAAATAATCAAAATAAAAATAAATTTTGGAAAGTATTTAAATAAAAAATCTAAAAAATTAATTTTTAATCAAAAAATAATTAAAATAAAAAAGAAAAAAAATATAATGTAATATAAAAATTATTAATATTAAAAATCTAAAAAATAAATCGATTTTTGCTTTTTTTTTAAAAAAAAAAAAGATTTTTTTTAATTAAAATTATAATAAATTCCATAAATTAAGATTATAATCCAAAAAGAAAAAATATGTAATAAAAAAATAATTTATAGGAATATTTTTGATAAAATAAAAAAACTGAAAAGATGTTTATTTAGTTTATTGATTCTTATATTTAGAATATTTTCAAGTAAACAAATATAGAAATTAAAATGTTTTAAAAAATTTATTTATATAATAATAAAAATATAGAAAAAATAAAAAAATGTATAATAATTATAAAAAATTTAGTTAATAAAAAAATATAAATATTTTTAAGAAAATATATAAAAAATTTTATATTTAGATAATTTATTTTTCAAAAGAATAAAATTAATTTTAATAATAATAATAATAATTAAAAAAAAATTAAATATATAGTATATAATTTACCAGTTATTATTATAAAAAAACAATAATTTGAGATAAAAATTATTTTAAGAAAAAAAAAAAAAAAGAGAAGATATATCCCTTAATTAATCACTACTTAAAAAATATAATTGAGAAATAAAGAAATTTAAAATAGTAAAATATAAGAATTTTATACTAATTGTATATATAAAGCAAAAAGAATATAATTTTTTATTAAAATTTAGAATTAAAATTAACTTAATATTTATTTATTTTTTATTTAGATTATAGAATTTTTTATAGAAAAAAATAAAAATAAAAAAAGACATAATTTAATTTTTATTATTAAATTTTAAATGAAGCATTCTAGTTTATATATTATAAAGAAAAAAATTAATATATACATTATAATATTATTTTTTTATTAAATATAAGTGTAGTTATTTATATCTTATATTATATTATAAATAAATAAATATTTTTTATTTTATTTTTTATTTTTCATAAATCTTTACGATCTACAAGATTTGCTATTTTAGGTATAAGGATATTTTTTTTTTTTTTATATGCTTCTTCTAATATTTAAATTTATTCATCTAATTATTATAATTTGGTTGTATCTCCTGAATTTTTATTTTGTTCTTTTTCTAATTTCTAGAAAAAAAATTAATAAAAGTTCTTTATTTTTTCAATAAAAGAAATAAAAACTTTATTATCTAATGTAAGTTTTATTTAATCTAATGATATTGCTTAATTATATGTTCGCTCTTATAATTTTCTACCATCTTTTTAGTTTTTTTTATAAAAAACGAAAAATATAATATTATTAATTTACAGTGCTAAGTCATAAATTCTTTATCGTTTTCATCATAATCTTTATCTGTAAATTCTTATCCCATTTATTATTTATGTCTTTTTTTTAAAAAAAACTTAATATATTTTTTTTTTACTTTTATTTATAAATACTCTTTTAAGGCTTCATATTTTTGAATTTTTTATTCGTATCTGTAAATACTTTATATGTATATTGGTTATAAAGTTATAAATAATATTATTTTTTGTATTTAAATTTACCTATACGTACTATATGTCATACATATAACACCTATATTTGCAACTAATTTTATACCGGTTCTTCCTAAAGGAGTACTTGACATTTTATATTTATTATTACTATTATTATTAAAATATAAGGAATAAAATAATATAAAATAATATGAATTATTTTATCATACTTAGAGATTAGATTTTTATTATTTTAATTATGTTTTTTATAATTTTAAAAAATTATTAATACTAACTAAAATAATATATATTACAAAAAAAAAAAAAATTAAATAAAAAATATTTAAATATATAATTATTTATTAAGGTAAATCAATTTTTAATTTCACAAAAAAAAAAAAAAAAAAAAAAAAAAACAAAAAAATTTAAAAATTAAAAAAATATGAACTTAGGTATACCTACTAAAATAGTGCCTGTTTCATGGGTAGTAAAGCTAGATCCTCCTTAAATAGGATTAGTATACAAATTAAATGAAAAATATAAAAAAAAGAGATTATATATAATCGAATTAAACGATTTGATAATGATTCCTGATCCTCAAAAAGTTGCTTAGAGATTATTTAAAGAACACCCTTTACATTTAAATTAAAAATTCGTTTAAATAGAATAAGTATAAAATATAAAAAAGAATAATATTTTAAAAAATATAATATATAATAGGTTGAAAAAATAATCCATATGATTTAATCTAAATTAAATATGTGTATTTAATTTATAATTTATAAATTATTTTAATTTTATTGTTAAAAAAATATAGATAATGATGATGATGAAGAAAATTATGATGAATATAATCATGAATAAATATACTAAGAGAATTAATAATTTGAAAATCATGAATGTATAAATTAAATTAAATATTTTTTATTTTATTTAAAAAAAAAAAATTAAGAATTTGATGAAATATCAGATAATGATTTTGAGTGATAAATTTAAGAATTAATTCAAATATATATATATATATTATTTTTTATAAATCAAATTATATTTTAATATATATCATTATAATTGTAATTCTAATACTATTATGATATTCATAATAACACTAAATTTATTTTTAATATATTAAATATTCATTTATTATTTAAAAAACTATATTAAAGTATTTAATAAGTTTTAAATTGTGTTAACGTTTATTAAAATAATCAATATTATAAAAATTATTTTTCTTCAAAAATGTATAATCAAATATAATCAATTTAAAAAAATTACTCCGAAAGACTATTGCTTAGAAAAAGTTTATAAAAAAATATATTAAAAATATTTTAAAAAATCAATTTTTTAATGTAATTACTAAAAATGTTTTTATTTTAGGTTATAATATTTTAGATTTAGATTATTTTAATAAAAAATCATCAAGAATAAATTCTATGAGAAAATTCTAAATATACAAAAAAAAATATTATAGTATCTAGAAAAAAAATATTATAAATAAATATCATAAAATGATATAAATAAATATTATATAAATATATATAAAAATATATTTATATATATTATTTTATTTTTTTAAATATTTTATAGATATTTTTAATTAAATATTTAAATCTATTAATTAAAAAATTTTATCTATTTAATTTTTTTAAAAATATATTCCAATCTTATAAATATAATATCTAAATTTAAGTAAAATATGTCATTACCAAAATTACAACTATCTGATTTAAACGAAACTTAAGAAATCGTAAAACCTGATAACAAAAATCCTATAGAAAATGTATTAAAAATAATATAAAAAAGTGACAACTTTTTATAATCTCACAGCAATACAAATCCTTAAAGCAATTAAAATACACATACACATGCTGGTGGTAGATAATGTAATAAAAAACATTATTATTATAGTGATTTATATATTAATTCTTTTGTTATATTTATGCCTATAAATTGCTTTATATTGTCTTATTATGTAAAAAATATAAAAATATAATTAAATAATTAAAAAAAGTGGTTAAATGAAATAATAGAACTATAATTTGAAAAATATTTAACAAACTTAATCTTAATTTTTTCAATAATAATGTCAACTATATGTTATTATCAATGTGTAACAATAAAAAACATTCCTATTAAGCGTGTAAAATATATTAATATTTTTTTGTAAATAAATATACAAAATAAAAAAAAGACGCCACCAACTCCTGATTAATAGTTTACTGATTAAATATATAGAAATGATTAATTATGTAAAAGTTGTAATCTTTGGAAACCTATGAGGACAAAACATTGTAATTAATGTGGTTCATGTATTTTAAGAATGGATCATCATTGTCCATGGATAACAAACTGTGTAGGTTTAAGAAACAATAGGGCCTTTTATTTATTTATAGTTTATATGTTTTTAGGAGCTTCCATTTACTGTTATAGGTCTTTAATGTATTTTTTGTTTTTATATAATAGTGAAAATTTTTGGTAAAATAGCTTTACTTTTTATTTCTATTGGAGTTCTAATAATCTTGTTTTAGTTCCTATTAATTTGATGCTTTCGGGTCTTTTTTTCTTCCATAGTTTACTTATTATTAATAATTAGACTACTTTAGATATTATGGGAGGGTTAAAATTAAATTGTACTTGGCTACCAATAGGACCTACTAGTTTTTTTTAATATGCTAATGTATATAATAGAGGAATTTTTGCAAATATAAAGTGCTTTTTTTCATCTGATCTTTTTTTCTTTTGGTTTCCAAAAGAAACACTGGAACCTAATGAGGGACTATATTATCCATAAATACCAGGATGTAAATATTTGGATATATATAGTAAAGATAATTAAGAGGTTTTTAAAGAAATTAATAAGGATGTATTACAAAATTATTAAGGATTTATTTAAGAAGAATAAAAAAGATTATATAATTGCATTTTATAAGTTGAAAATTAGAGTATAGAATGTATGTGAATAATATTTTAATTATATATAAATATATATATATATATTTTAATAATTAATATATATCTTATTAATTTTTATATTAATATCGTTAATTTTTATATTTTTATTATATTTTTTATATTTATTAATAATTATATATATAAATATTTAAAGATATAAAAAATAAATCAATCATATTGATATTATTATTTTAACATAATATAAAAATTAAATTTATTTTATTTTATTTTTTAATTTATTTATAAAATGTAATCATAATCATAATCTATTGATAATTTATAAGAAGAATATTTAGTAAAAGTAATATTAGTAGGTGAATAAGGCGTAGGAAAATCAAGCATTTTAAAATAATTTATTCACCATAAATTTGAATAATAATATAATTCAACTATAGGAGTTGAATTTGAGAGCAAAAATTTAAAAATATAAAATTCTAATTAATAATTGATACTGTAAATATGGGATACAGTAAAGATTATATTAAAAATATACATTTATGCATATATATTTATAAATATAAAATAAATTACAATTTAAATTATTATTTATAAATATTTTTAGATTTATCTATAAAAATTTATATTAATCTCTCTATATATATGTATATATTTATATACCTATATATAATCTAAAAGGCTGGATAATAATCATTTAGATAAATTGTAAAGTCATTTTATAAAAATGCAATAGCTGTTTTAGTAGTATATGATATTACTGAGTAATAATAAAGTATTATATTTTATATAAATATATACATTAAAAAGTGTAAATTCATTTTAGCTTTTACAAAATTGGATTGATGAAATTAAATGTAATTCTCATTAGGATATTATAATAGGAATTATTGGAAATAAATTAGATATGAATGAAAAGTATTTTTTATATATATATATTATTTTGTAATTATTAATAAAAGTCGAAAAGTATAATCAGAAGATGTTTAATAAATTCTATAAAAAAATAATTGCCATATTTTTTAAGAAATTTCAGCAAAATCTAACTAGAATATTGAAAGTGTATTTTTTTATTTGTTATTTTTTATAAAACTTTTATTAATTTAGACTTTTTAATAATTGGCTGATTTAATTAATTAAAATTACATATAAGATAAAATATTTTAAGACTCTAATAGCTTAAATTAAGAAGAATAAATGAAACAAATAATTATTAAATCTTATAGTTCTAGTCATAAAGGATCAGATGAAATTGGCTTTATAAAACAAAGATTCGAGTCTAAATAAAATATTTAAGATAATCCTAAAAAGGAAAACTTTGAATTAAATTAATCAACATAAAAAGATAAAAATTAATTATAAGAAAATTTAATATAAAATAATAATTAAACTAAAAAAATAGTTGTTCCTGCTGTTCTATTTATTGAAAAATAAAATGAAGAATATTTACATATAATGAAAAAATAAATTTTCATTAAATAAGAAAAAAAAATTAAATTTTAAATTTTAAATAAGTTTATTTTAAATTAAAAAAATATATATATTTATATATTAATTTATTAATATATATGCGAATACTTTTATTTCCAAAAAATTATTTAGAGGTTAACTTCTAGACATTTTTATATAAATTTTCAAATGACAACATACTTCACATTATGCAAGTACAAAAACTAATAATAATTTAATATATATATATGTGTATATATAAAATAATAGATTAATTATTTATATTAGATTAGACAAATTTCAAACATATTAGACCAATATACTCTTAGATATTAAGATTTCGAATGTTTTAGTTATTTATATTTAATTATTATAATTTAAAAATAAATATATTATTTTTTAATTTCTATTATTATATTTTATTTAAATCTATCTCAAAAAAATTTTTTTATTTTAAATATTTCATAGAGTTTAAAGAATTTATTATAAATAAATAAAAAAATTAATTTTTTCTAATAAAAATAAAAATAAATAAATTTTTATAAAATTACAATAAAAAAAAATATATATACATTAAAGCAAAACAAACAAACTAAATTAAAATTATAAAAGATATATATAGTAAATAAAATTTAATTATTTTTTTAAATAAAATATTATATAAATAAATATATACATTTCTTTTTTTTTATAGTTTTTTTTATTAAAAAAAAATACTTATTGTTTATTTGATTTCAAATAAACAAAAAAAACTTTAAATAATTTTTATAAGAACTAAACAAAAAAATATATATATATCTAATAAAAAAAGCTTCTTTAATATATATATATATATATGTTT